GTCCTAAATTTGTTCTCACAGGCCAGTCTCTGACATTCTGTATCTGTCCTTGGGTAGCTGTGCCCATGTCCCTTCAGGGAAGATTAAATTCTACACAGGCTGAGTTTAGGGAGGGGTAACAGAGCAGCATGAGGGGCTGGGGACCTTTCTGAAACATTAAGCAGCTATTACAAAAATGAAGTCTAAATAAGTTACTGAGACATCTAGTGTAGAAACCAGATACACTGAGCACATACAGGAACACAGTGAGGCTAGTGAGTGATCATCAATATGGACTTTGAGGCCAGTAGCCTGGGTGGAATCCCAGCTCTACCCCTTCCTCTCTGGGTGATCTTGAATGTGTCACTTCACCCCCTTTGACATCAGTTTTCTTGTCTGAAAACTGGATAGAAGAAGAGCACGTGTTCAGAGATGGTTAACAGAATTACTTCTTAATTAGCAAGTACCTAATAAATGCTAATTGTTACTGGCATCCTCACCATCACTATTAGACAAAATGAACAAAAGACGGAATGCATAAATCTCAGATTCCTCATTAGCAAATGGGTTAATAATGTAGGATTGGTGGCATTTATTCATTGGATAAGGGGCTGGGGATACAGAATGAAGCAGGTCAGACTTTGTTTTCCACCCAGCCCACATGAAATAGAAGAGTGAGCAAGTAAAGGAATAAGAGTGGACAGTGACAGTCCCCACAAACAGTCCCTCACTGGTTTCTATTCTTGGATGGTGCGAACATTGGAACACCTACTGTGTGCAGTGCAGGGGGAAGAGGGATATGTCCTGTATTGCACTCCCCTCCCCAGCCAGACCAAGGTCCTGGGGTCTGCTCAAAGAGAGAAAAGACATTACTACAGTTCACATCATGCAAAACCCAGTTGGGTGCTGGGTTGGGATGGTGGCCATGACCTGGTTGTGCCGTTTCTGAGGGCTGAATTTAGATGCTGTTGATGCTGCGTTCCACCAATAAAACCACCTTGGTTTCCTGAACTGTACCCATGCTCCCCGAGGCTGCTTACCACCCCAGCCTTCCCCCGCCCATGAAGGGAACCCTCAGAGACGCATGGTTCAGTCCTCTATTTCCTGTCCCAGGAGCCCGCTGACCATCAGCAAGCCCTGCAGTTCCTGCATCCTTCACCACTCTGCTCTCTACCCAGGTCCAAGCCCCAGGACTCCTGGATGCCCTCAGGAGCACTTCCTTGGCCTCTGGGCTTCCTCTGCCTCCTGCTACAGGCGATATGCTTCAAGCAACCTTAGCAGACCTTCTGGGAGGAGAGCAAGGCCCTCCAGCCCCTAGCCCCAAGCCTTTGCCCCTCTGGTTCTCAGTGTGAGAAGCTCACCCTCCCTTTACCTGCAATCCCTAAAGGTGCACCACAAATATACTCTCCCCTTAGCCTGATCCACATTATTCAGAACACACATCATTGTCTTTGGGGATGAATTGACTTATACATTTCTTGAAAGTCTATCTCCTCGATCAGAATGCAGGATCTATAAATGCAGGGCCTGTGTTTTTGTTCAAGCTGGAATCTGGGCTGATAAATGGGTAAGAAAATGACAAATGCTTGTTGAATGAATGAATGAACTGTCAAAGGGCAAAACTAATGTTCCCCACTAGAGCTGCTACCAGGAGAAATGAGACAGTGTCCAGAGCAACGCCAGCCCACGGTGCCAGACTTAGAACTTCCTTTTGTGTTCCATTCTTTGCTTTTACCTTTAGTAGGAAGCAGCAGAGTCAGACCTTGCTGTTGAATTTGTAGGATGACTGTCGCTGTTTTATGAGGCCAACATATAGCCCTCATTTCCATGTGTTCAGTAATTTATTATGTATAGGTCTTATTATGTGTAAGGAATTCCTGAGCCAAATTAGCAAGTTCTGTCTTTCATTTTATGCAATATTAGCAATTTGGAATTTAAGCACAAACTAAAAAAAAAAAAATCTGAAATTGCCTCTTTGACTTAGGAAGGACCCCAACACATGTGGAAGCAACAGGTTTCCTTTTTCCAATAACTCTCCTCTCCTATAAATCATGCTAATTGTCTCCATGTGCCCACAGCCCGAGGGGAGCTTTGCAATAGCCTTTGAGGAGATTAGTGGTCTCTGATGTTCCTTATGAAATTCAGAAAAGCATCTGGAAGTAATTTAAGTTAAGGAATTAATGATTTTGAGGTTAAATAATACACGACTTAAAAAAAATAAACACAGGAAACTCTATTAGCTCATGAACCTCTAGGTTCGCACCTCCATTCCTGTGGTTTTACCTAACCAAGATAAATGACCACGTCATCCCTCAGATTTGCTGGATCTGTATTTTGTTTGATTGATTTTTAGAAGACAAATTAAATGAGGTCCCACAGTTAGACTTGCAGAGGGGGAGCTCCCTGTTTCCTAGGTCTACTTCTGCAGGGATGAGAAAGACAGCCTCTGGGATGCTGGGAGGCCTTGGCCCAGTGTGCAGGGCTTTGTTACAAAGCAGAATGGCCACACAGTCAGGTGGGCTTACCAGATTGAAGGTCATCTTCCCCTTTTTTTTCTTTTAATTTCCCCTTCATTTTGAGTGGCTATGTATTGTGTTGTGGTGGGTTCAATTTCCTCTTGTTTTGTTTATTTGCAGGGTAGAGTCCTTAATCCAGGGACCACATCTGGCTTTGCACAAGAAGAGCAATGTTCTGTGCCAAAAGGAAAGTGCCAGTGCAGGGGAGAGGCAGATGTTGGTCTGCAAGGGAGAGCAGGGGAGGGGAGGCCCCAATCCAGGGCTTTTAGTTTTTGTTCCTATTATGGGATAGGAGAGAGAGAGGATGAAACAGATTCCAATCCCTCCGTTAGAAATAATGGGAGATGTTGTATTTCTCCCTGATGGCGGGAGGCTAGGAACATTTAAATGAAAAATATTTATTCTCCAGTGACTTCCAGGCTTAAAAAGAAGAAGAGGAAGAAGAAAATGTGCCTTCCATTTTAGGACCCTATGTCTACTCCACGACTGCTCCCCACTAGCTGGGCACTGATTTGGGCAATTACCAGCATAATCCACTTAAAAAATTAAGTCCCTACCCACCAGGCCTATGAGAACCCACCTTTTGGGCGTGGCTGGCTCCCCAAGCTAAAAGAGAAACAATGAAGCATCATATGCTGCAGCCTGGGACATAGAATCTCCACCGCCCCCCCTCCAACCCCGCCCCCAGAAGGGAGAGGCTCCAGAACTAGGTGTGCTCCAAAGACCTGGCTCCATCCTCGATTTCTCCTGTGTGAGACTCATATTCCCTTGAAGCTGAGTTGAGGGACCTTTCTCCTTTATCAATCAAGGACTTCTTTCATTTCAAAATTCTTTCCTCGAGGGCGGGTGAAACATAACCCAGTCGTCCTTCCTTCTGAGGTTGGTCTGAGCTCACCTAGGGTGAGAGCCAGGAGCCCAGAGCAGGTGGGGACCACCAGGACGGGGTGCTGTAGCTGGTGCAGGACTGGGCCAGGTTTCCAGTCTCAGTACCCATCGCCTTTCGCCCCCCCCCCCCACACCAGAGAGAGCCATGGTCCCGCCCTCTTGTTGCTTGCACCTAGTGGAGGGGGAAGCCCAGGGTCCTAAGGCGGCAGAGACTGCTCCAGGGTCCCGCGACGCGCGAGAGGGGAGCACTGGAAAAACCTGAGAGGACGGAGAACAGGTCAGGAAGCGGTGGCGAGGACAGCTCTTCCAGATCCGTATCCGCAGAGAAACTACTCTTTCAGGACAAGCCTGGGGCACGCGTGTGTGGCAGCGGCGAGCTGGGTTTTGTTTTGTTCCCCCCCTCCAACAGTTAATAAAAAACACATGCGGCGCGACGTGCGAACCCTACGGCATGAAAGGATATGCAGTGAAATATGAGTCTTTCTTTCGACCCTTCGTCCAGTCTCCTTCCTGAAACTGCTGGTGCCTTGTGTTCTCCACGCACCATGCTACACCTAAGCGCATCTGTGTCCATCAGAGTTCCTGCCCTGAACGTTGCTTTCCCCACTAAATAATGCGTCTGGGAGATCCTCCTCGGCATCCGCATGTGACTTTTAAATCCAGATGGCTCCAGATCTCAGAGCTAAAGCGGGGAATAGCTTGAA